AAAAAAAAAAAAAAAAAACAGTATACTATGGTGTATTATGAAATACTATGATATATGAAAATATATGATTATGGTATATCATAAAATATTATGGTATGTTCTGGTAGGGTGGGACACAAAACTACCTCGGATGCAGCAAAAGTTGTCTCGGTCTCATCACAAGCAGCCATTTTGAGGCTCCCCTTGCCTCCAGTCGTCTGGTTCCAATTTGTGGTGGTCCGTCTTCCCAAAGTTGGGATAGCCCACATGGGTCAGCGTGGCTTCGCGGGCTTTCACAGCCTGTCAGGGTTGCTTTCACAGTCACAGCAATATGTTTGCTCTTATCCCTAAACCTAAACTCTACACCCCAAACTAAGACAGATGATTCCTTTTTGACACATAGCCTGTTCAGCCTCTGCAAGAGCTGCTTTCTGCATAGCCGCCTCTACAGCTGCAGCCATGTTGGAGAACAAGCCTCCTTCTGAACTTCCAGCGTCAATCGCAGCTGAGCAAAAGGGCTAGCAGCAGCAGCGTGCAACTTGCTCAAGCACAACTTGTTGAGCTCAAAGAAGACTAGACCATTAAAACAGGAGTCATCACAGGAAATCCGCACATGAACAGCCACAGGAAATAAGCCCAGAACCAAATGGGCCTTCACACAACAGGGCCAGTGTCAAAGTCTCTTCGCGCGCGGGTCCCAAGGATACAGCTTGCTTCACGACATTGATGATCTGGTCCTTAAACATCCTATGCCCAGCTAACTAAGAGCTGCACACAATCATTGTTGAAACAAACCCTAAATCCCAAACCCTGAGCACACGAGCCCAAGGCCCCAAGCCCAAAACGTGAAAACCCCAAACCTTTAATTCCAAGATCTTGTCCCCACCACGCAAGATGCCACAACGAAGCTTTGCTCGGTCCCCAGCATTCCGTTGCTTCGGGAGACTTTGGGAACCCAGTCGTAGACCTTTTCATCCCATCCCCCCGAGTGTTTGAAACCCCGCCTCCCACAGAGAGAGAGAGAGAGAAAGAGAGGGACTTTTTTTGACTTTCGAAACGCAGAACGTACTGAAACGTCCCATGCGCGACCCACACAAGCCTTGTGCTTGTAGGGGAGACAAGCCTTTTGGACCCGGCCTTTCGAGAAGGCTGTGCTTAACACATCTCCTTGCGGTTTCCGCCCAGTGGGGCAAAGCA